AGAGTCAGTATCAGAATGGAGGAATTCCTGGCTCGCAGACTAGAACTTAGTTCGTGCCTCTCAGAAGAAAGGAGTAAAATCTTACTCTTCAGAAGAAAGAGTTGTTATGTTGACACGTTTTAATTGACCAAAGACTTTTTCTTTTAAAGTTGTAGATTGGTTTCTTTTCAAAGTATACACAAAACTTTGCAGAGTTACCTTACAATTCTGTTAGACTTAGCAACACTGATAGGAAAATAACTGAGAAAGCATGACCAAAACTTATCTTCAGTAAACCTCAGCTTTTGTCTGATTTTAGAAAGGAATGACTGGAAAGACTGTATTCAATATTATGCAAGCCCAATGCATCAGTTAGGAAATCACTCAAATTAAAGAAAAGGCTTGTTAGATCACTTAATCACTACCAGTGGCAGCATTGTCTGTACTACATACACATTGAAGTATTTTAGGAATCTTTAACATTTTATGCTCCTGCTATGGTTTTTAAGATGGAAAATCCAGAAGAAAAAGAAAACCAAACAGTAGGATTCTTTCTCCTTTCGTTGCTAAAGGAATTCTATAAGAACTATATTCTATGTAAGAACTGTTGCTGTCTTGAAAGAAGTGCCAGATACCAACTCCTTCACATCACATTCTGTGCTTGAACAGTTCAAACAGATCCCTCCAGAGGTTCTCTTGCACAGCTTATCAATCTACTTTCTACATACCCAACTTAAAAATATGTTAGCCACTATAAAGTCACAAGTGCTGGAAAATTCTAACATATGAAATCCTTTCTAGGGTAAAGTATCAAAATCGACAAAACAAATCAATATTACTGATATGACAAACTGCAAACTTACCGACCATGTTTCAAATATTTACATCATATCAATTTTCAGAACTCTACATCTTGATAAACGTACGTTGGTTTACAACCAGGAATTCAGTGTATCAGTTTAAATCCACAAATCTTAGTTGAACACTGTTTAATACATGTTGATATTCACCAAAAGAAACAGAACACCAGAACACAAGTACTTTGTTATAGAACACAGGTAATGTCTTTTTGTGTAAAGGTGTCGCATGTATTGCATGTATTGCACATATGATACACACAGAAGGTCTTAGCGCAGAGACCACACCTTGCAACAATTACTTCCAGCAATAAAAGTTCTAATGTTAGATATTCAATTAACTGAATATGGTCATGGCTGTGACACTCCTTGAGTAAATTCTCATTTCAAGTATGCCAGCTAAGGATAATTGTAAGATAGGAAAATTTGCCTATCACTCAACCACTGCATGCCGTTCCTTACAAACCCCTATATTTTGTACTTCTTCTCTGAGATCCCCAAATGAGAATACCCCGGGGATTATGTTTACATCACACTTGAAAATTTTGAAACTTCAGTCTCTTAAATACCACGGCTCCAATTTTAGGCCGACAGCACATCCTAGTGGGTACTCACACTATTCCATGTTTGGATTACACACACCTCAGCCACAGCTGCATAAATACTTTTCTGATATCCTTAAGTGCATGCACTTTTCTTCTTTCCTTACATGGAACAACTAAGAATGAGGTTGGGAATTTGGAAGTATGTGCCAATTAATAAAACTGAGATAATTCAGGGACACAAAATAATTTAAAATTGGTTCCATACACCTTTAAAGCAAAAACATGCTTATGTATATGGATATAATTTTAGCCAGAACATACAATGAATGGTAGTGTAGTTTGTCCTTTTGTTTTCATTTGCTAATAGAAAAAACAAATTCAGTTTCATCTGGGCAGCTTTACCTGAGAAATATGAACAAAGGGCTATACACATTACTAAGTATTTAGTTAATAAAACTATACGTTTAGTCATCAAAAATGCAGCTATTATAGCATTTTAATGTGGGCTTTTGCCAGTCAAGTATGCAGCACAATCAGAAGGCTGTCTGTTGAAGCAGACAGAAATCAAGAGAAAATGGAAATAAAATGCTGCTTAAATGTGTCACATTTTGTAAGAGCCCCATTTAGAGATTTTTAAATGACTTCTTACGTGAAGGATTGTGAAATATGGGATACCCACATACTTAAGATATTTTCTCCCAGGTAAGTTCACAATTTTGCATAGCTGCAAAACCTTTCAGCATCTTTCTCACTCTCTGATATTGTCATATTTATAACTTATATCTTCTCTGTAGAAAATATCAGGTACTCTTAAAGGAGTAGACCTGTGAATGGAATGTTGTGTCCTTGACAGGTTCTACAGGCTGAATTGTTGGTGAAAGGGGGTCTGAAAGGGATATCACAGAATCAAAGAAGCACAGAATATGCTGAATCAGAAGGGACCCACAAGGGTCATTGAGTTCAACCCTTAGCCTGCACAGGACCATCTCCAACAGTCACACCATGTGCCTGAGAGCACTGTCCAAATGCTTCTTGAACTCCGTCAGGCTTGGTGCTGTGACCATTTCCCTGGGGAGCCTGTTCCAGTGCCCAACCTGGGTGAAGAACCTTTTCCTGATACCCATCCTAAACCTCCCCTGACACAACTTCAGGCCATTCCCTCAGGTCCTGTCACTGGTCCCCACAGAGCAGAGATCAGTGCCTGCCCCTACTCTTCCTCTCACGAGGAAGCTGTAACTGCAATGAAGTCTCCCCTCAGTGCCGTCTTCTCAAGGCTGAGAGGACCAAGTGACCTCAGCCCTACGAGGAGAGCTTAAGAACTCTGGGATTGTCCAGTTTGAAAGAAAAGGAGGCTGAGGGGTGACCTCCTTGCTCTCTGCAGATTCCTGAGGAGAGGAAGTAGAGAGGGAGGTGCTGAGCTCTTCTCCCTGGTATCCAGTGATAGGACATGTGGGAACGGTTCAAAGCTGCATCAGGGGAGGTTTAGACTGGATATCAAGAAGCATTTCTTTACTGAGAGAGTAGTGAAACACTGGAACAGGGCTCCTAGTGAGTTGCCCCAAGTCTGTCAGTGTTTTAGAGGTGTCTAGACAATGCCCATAATAACATACTTTTAAGTTTTGGTCAGCCCTGACGTCATCAGGGAGTTAATTGTTGTAGGTCCCTTCCAAGTGAAATAATCCATTCTGTTCTATTCCATTTTCCTGCTGAACATTAGCCTCCTGCTGTGGCAGCAATAATCAGAAGGAAGCACACTTTTACAGCAGAACCTGATACCATGAAGGAGGGAAAGCAGTGATAATGGACTTCACCCTTCCATATTGTTCTTCCCTCATACTTGGGTTCACATATTTCTTTCCCCTTCTTGAATCACTTTCAGTTATTCTGTGGTAATTTTTTTTGCCTGATGTATTTTTGATATTTTGTTCATGGTTAAAGTGTTTATAATCTTTATATTAGGGAAACACATTTTCTGCTACTAATATATGAGTCTCCCAAAGACTCAAAAATCAGAACTGAGTTAAAAAGGATCCCCATTTTTTAGTTTAGCTTCATGGTCTTCTGCTGCCTGACTCATGTTCAATATGTTACTGGCAGTGCTAACATCTTAATTTGGCTGAGATGAAAACTTGCCCAGAAGTAGTCCCTGTGCCCCATCTACAGGCGAATCCATCATTCACTGTAATGCTGAGGAACACATGCAGGTCTCTCATATTCTCTCCTAAGAAGAGGAGTAAAAGAAGAGAGAGGTTCCAGCAGCCTCACCTTTGTTAACAAGCCCAGACGGGTACATACACTGTGTTTTAAAGCTGTAGCCGCAAGGCAAGAGATAACAGAGAGGGTTTTTTATCAGTTCCCAAACATTTTCTAAATGAACATTGACAGTGGCTGTAACAGCAAATACAACCTAAACAATGGTACTGCCTGCTTCTTTACCAGGCCAGATCATTTTCTGGAATAACTTACCAGAGTTCAGGAATCCTTGTCATAAACAAAACAGCAACGTAAGGAGTTCTCAGTAAAAATCTGTTAACTGCTCAACAGAAAGACACATAACTTCTCAGCAGAAAAGATGCTCCTCAGGTAATGCTTTTTTATGTAAATAAATAAATATATTTTTATGCTTAATGAAAAAATCTGTAGTTGGAAGAGACCTCTTGTCATGGTCCACATGACAGTTTTCTTTCTTCACAGCTGATGGGGTATGGGAGTGATTTTTTTATATAATATTTGTCAGAGTTAAAAAATTTTCTTGTAGAGAAGATGTTGAGCAGCATCTTTTCCACCATATTATTCTGACATCCATTTTATTCCTATGAATGCCATAACCAGAGGTTTGAAAGGACTTACAAAACCATCTTGTCCAAACCCTCCTGCTCAAGCAGGGCTACATTGAGTCGGTTGTCCGGGACCACGTTCAGTTAGGTCTTGAGCATCTCCAAGGATGGAAACTCCAGTCTCTCTAGAGAACCTGTTCCAATGCCGAGTCTGACATTAAATAAGTGTTTCCTTAACAAATCATGCCAAAAATTCGTCCTGTTTACAGAAAACACCCCAAAACTATGAATTTTGATTTGCCCTTCACCTGGAGCATGGATTTTAGCAGAGAGCTGTACTGTCTCAGTTAAAACTGAATCTAGGTGTTGTTTGTTCTTTACTGCAAGTGGTATCTGATAAAATGTTGAGAAGGTTTTTATATTACAGAATTCTACAGGGAAATCCTTCCTTTGAGAGCCAAGTGGTAGGAAGACTTCAGAATAATCTTGCAGAGTTTCCAAATACTTGGCACACATTCTTTCCATTCTTTCACAGGAATGATAGATGTGCCCATCTGAGGAGCTGTTTATGAGGGTTATTTACACTTGATTATTTCATGTTCGCTACCTCCTTTTATACAGACCCTGTTATGTTGTTAAATATATTTTGAGGCATCATACATAAAATAAATGAATAAAACTCGTTGTCAAGCAAAGATTATTAATTCCCTTCACTGCAAGAGGAGCTCATGTTTTAAAGTACCAAACAGCCTAGTGATGGGAGACAGCTAACAAGTCTCCAGCAAGCTAACATGGGAAAATCTGAGTAACCGTAAAAACAAAGAAACCACACCAAAAGTTACCATCCAAACTGCTGGTCACAGATGCTTCTGGATCCAAAAACCAGCCTTTCCCTTCAATGATCATCTGCAAAAGAACCAAGGAAGTAATCAGAATGTGGAGGCAGCATTTCCATAGCAAAGATCAATGTCAGAACTGATGACAGCGCTCTGACAGAAAATTGACGATGGACAGGCAAAAAGAAATTAAATTGAGTTTTTAACTCTCATTAAGTTTTAATAAAATGAAATAAAAACACACTAGAAAGGTTGCTGGTGGGAGCAAGCCCCAGAGTGGAGTGTGAACTAATCAGCTGTGTGCTGTTGGATGTGCATCCCAAAGAGCTGACAGTAATGCTACCATAAGGTGAGGGGAAATCTGTGATTTCCACTGTATGAGAATTTGAATTTAATCCTTGCTGTCCACTTCACAGTGAAATTCTGATTGGGCAAGATGGACAGCCCAGTTATCACTAAGTTATCACTTGCATAATACAAAGTAAGAACAAAAGATGAGGAAACCTATGAAACAAAATGGCATACAAATAAAAATATAATTCATGAATAATAAATAGCACATAGTTTTCCAACCACAATTATAAAATAGTCTATTTTCTTTGCCATTTTACTTTAGTAAATTATTTATAGGATTCCATATACTAAGGAATAATCCCAGTTTATTATCTTTTGACATAACTCTCTTTTAAATAAATCTGAAATTCATGAGAGCAGAATGTACATAATGATTGACATCAACAATAATTCACATCAGTCTTTCCAGCAGTAGAGAATGCTGCTAGTACAGCTGTTATCTCCAAGTTCTGGGAAGTAGCTTTGTTACTCTTTTCTCCAGTATTAGAAGCCTTAATAGTTAGTGAAGATGAACTCTGTCAGTTTGGTTCTTACCAATACTTCACATGTGGCTTCTTGCTGAAAACAAGGAAGCTTACGTGTGTTCTGGAGATGGAATTAGTTCCACACAGTACCAACAGTTCACTGACAACCCATACAACAGTCTGGAAAACAATCTCTTTTCTTATGTGTCAGTGGTGACTTTTTCACGGCAAAATACTTGGAAAAATTATAAATTCCTGATCATGGATCTATGTGTGAGGATGAGATTTCATACAGTTGTTTCCTGTGTTACTGAAACACAACTGAGAAACAAGAATATTTGTAACTCAGCTCACAACGATGCTACATTTGAGGGCCGTATTGTTATTAACTCATATTAATTTCTGTAGCAAAATAATTTTTGTTTATGAAGTTATTTTAGAAGCAGAATTGGTTCTTGACAAAGGAAGCTTGGCACAACAGAGACAGAACATGCCCTCAGTTCTCTGAAAAGATGAGAGTAATGAAAAAGGAGATTTCCTAACACAAGACTAGATCCTCACAGATCAGAACAGTGCCTCTTCTGACCAAATCCCAGAATCTTTTCTGGGACATGAAGTGGAAGATTTCCTAAAAGAACCTTCAACAGTGGAGATCACTGAAACCGTAAACTACTTCATTGCTTAAGTGTACACAATTCCTCTTGTCACAGTTTCAGCACACTTGTGCTGATACACATTTATCATGTTTCCTTGAAATCTTCTCTAAATACAGTTATTTTAGCCTTTCCTGAAAGTCCCCATTTGTAACTTCTGATCATGCTGGTTGCTTCTCAGCAGACACAGGTTTTTTTTTTGTATTTTTAACATAATGCACGATTTTCCAGTTAGCCCTTACCAATGCTAAGTAGAATGGAATGATATTTTTTTCACCTCTCCTGTGAAAGAAACTTTTATTTACATATTCTAGTACAGTGCTGGCACTTTCCAAAGTTACCTGAGTATTACTTGCTCACATATTTTGATTTGAGTTGGTGGAAAACCTGCTTGCCCTCTAGATTGTTAAAATACCCTAGAGCCTTGGATTTCTGCCAAAAAAAAAATCTACTTCTGTTTTTCAGGAAAACTTTCTGAAAGTATTCAAAACAACATATTTAGAGAGATGCATTTTTTTTCAGGATCACTAAGAGCCAGCTCTCAGCTGCATATTCTCAGGGAAGTGAAAAAACAAAGAAACCCAAAGTGAAAAACCAAACCAGTGCTTGAACCAAAGTATGGAGAAATAAAAAAAAAAAAAATCCTGAACTTTAAAAAAATATTTTGTTTGTTCAGTAACGGTGTAAAATGTTGTTTGTCATTTTGGATATATTAATTACGGATATGTTACCATCATATGGGTTTGTGTCTGTTTGAAAAAAGTATTTATATGTATGTACTGTATATGTATGTACTTTTTATGATTCAATATGACTGAGCTTGTTAGCTTCTAATTGACCTCCTTCTTGTACCATCTTGCCAAGAATGGGTCACACACAAAGAACAAAGGTGAACAGAATAGGCACCTTAGTACTGATTTGGTAATACAATACAGAAATGTAGTATCTCAGCTCAAAACAGTATGGGAAGATTCTGTTCACACACTTGCCATAACCTCTAGCAAATCACTTACCCCTGGTGAACTTCTATTTTTTGATGTAACACAGGGATGATCTTTCAGTTCCCTTAAAATGTTTCTTACCCTTAAACTTTAATGTTGAATTTATAGCTAATTCACTGACTGGTAGAAAATGGTAGAAATGGCAATTGGGGTATCAGACTTTTTACTTAAGGTGGTCAGGGCTGCTGAGATTCAGACTCCTGAACACTTCCAAGATGAGCCTCTGCCTCATCCTGTGAAGTACTGGATGCCACATCAATGCAGCATGTGAAGGGAAAAGGACGTCTCACAAACTGGAATCTGTTATATACCGATTATCTGGGATAAGCAGTCTGACAAGTTCTGGGGGTTTGGCATTTTCTGAGTGGGAAATCTCCTTTAACCGTGCATACATCCAATGAAAACGTGTTTCCAGTCAGTCCCACAATACATTAACAGCAACTATTCAATAAACCATGTAGCTTTACTATTTGAATAGTACACCACGGCACCACTGGTAACTTCATGGTGGAAAGCGAGGGGGGGGGAAAGGAAAAAAACCCCAAACCCTCAGGAATTTATCACTAGAGAGAAAAATGAGACCCTATTCCTTAGTACCTCTTACTCCATGGGGTTTCTTCCAGCACACACGACTCAGTCATGCCTTTGACTAAAATCTGCGTTTGCCTCCTTGCAGACAGCAGCAGTCCCTTGAATATTTGGCAGACTATACCCCCTGCGGTCCTAATTTATCTCCGCATCCGAGGTCCTGGGTTTTCCCAAGTGACCACTGCGGAGTTAAGCGGCGATTTAGCAGCTTTTACACAGCGCCTCAGAAACCGGGGGTGGTGGTGGCTGGGGGGGGTGTGGGGGCAGTCCAACAAATCCTTGAAGTTTACCACGTATTTTGCATTATTCGTCCCACAAATCCTCGAAGTTTAACAGGTGTTTTTGCACTGCTCGTATGCCGGCTGGATTCTCCCCGTCACGACCCACTCTCGGGTACTGTGAGGCGCCTCCCCTCGCTCACTCTGGGCTGCCCTCAGGGGAGGCGCTGGAGGCAGTTTTCCTCAGCTGTGCAGTTAGACTGGTTGCCTTTGCCTTTCCCGCTATTCCCGCCATTCCCACACACTCCCTTGACACGCACTTCCCAATCTCCAGCCGCGGATACAGCTCCCCCTCCCCGCGCGGAACAGACCATTGCGGCGGGGCAGGGCGGAGGGCGGGGGGGTGGAAGAGGACAACCCCCCCCGCGGGGGGGGGGGGGTGATGGCCGCGCCGATCCCCCTCCGCCGTGCCCTGGTGGGCGGGGCAGCGGTGATGGGCAGGGCCGGGGGCCAATGGGTGCGGCCGGCGGGATCGGGGCGGGGCAGCCGGAAGCGGTGCCGGGCGGAAGCGCCGCGGGGGCGTGTGCGGGGCAGGGCTGGGCTGGGCTGGGCTGGGCAGGGAAGGGAAGGGAGCGCAGGGAGCGCCGGGGCGGGACGGGCTGAGCCGAGCCTAAACCGAGCCTGAGCCGCGCCTAAACCCAGCCGAGGCGAGGCGGCGGCGGCGGCGGCGGCGGCTGATGTGAGGCGGTGGCCTCGCCGGTGATGCGCGCCCCGCGGGCGCTGCCGGCCCGCTGAGGTGGGTGCGAGGAGCGCCCCGGCGGTGCCGCGGCCATGCCGTGCACCTGCGGGAACTGGCGGCGCTGGATCCGGCCGCTCGTGGTGCTGCTCTACATCGTGGGGCTGCTGGTGGTGGTGCCGCTCTGCGTGTGGGAGCTGCAGAAGCTGGAGGTGAGGGGCGCGGCCCGGCCCGGTGCGCTCCGCTGGGGCCGCGGGAGAGACCCGGGGGGGACCCGGCGGGGAAAGGTGTTACCTCATCAGGGCCCATATCTGAAGGGAGGGTGCAAGAGGATGGAGCCAGGCTCTTACCAGTGGTGCCAAGCGATAGGACAAGGGGCAACAGGCAGAAACTGATGTACAGGAAGTTCCACCTGAATATGAGGAAGAACTTCTTTACTATGCGGGTGACCAAACACAGAACAGATTGTCCAGAGAGGGTGTGGAGTCTCCCTCACTGGAGATATTCAAAACCCTCTGGACGCAATCCTGTGGCATGTGCTCGGGGATGACCCAGCTTGAGCCGTGGGGTTGGATCAGGTGACCCACTGTGGTCCTTTCCAACGTGACCCGCTCTGTGACTCTGTGAAAAGAAAGGCTGAAGAAGTGCCGCGGTGCTGCTGGGCACGTTTGTCCTGCTGCTCAAGCCCCATCAAAGCGCAGTGGGACAGAGCAGGATTTCTTTCCCCTTCTGGTTCTGTAGTAGTTGATGTTTGAACAGTTTGAACAGGATGCTGATGCTGAAGAAATCAACCAAGTGTCACAGAATGGGCCAGATTGGAAGGAACCACAGTGGGTCACCTGGTCCAATTTCCGTGCTCCAGCAGGGTCATCCCAGAGCACATGGCACAGGATTGTGTCTAAATGGTTCTTGAATGTCTCCAGTCATGCAAACTCCACAACCTCTATGGACAATCTGTTCGACTCCACAGTAAAGAAGTTCTTCCTCATGTACAGGTGGAACTTCCTGTGCATCAGTTTGTGCCCCTTGCCTTGTGTCCTTGTGGATGGCACCACCAAGGAGAGACTGGCTCCTTCCATAAGTTCATCCCAGAACTTATGTATTGAAACTTAGTAGTAATAGTGGCATTCATAAAGGTGATTCTGTCTGATCAGGGAGAATTGAGTAGAGCATCTCTACTGATAGAGAAAAATTCCTCTTTTGTCATGCAGCAGTGATGTATGAATTACACACTCACGTGATACAATTGCTTCTCTAACAAGAAATAAAATTTTAACTTTAAAATATATGTATTGTTCAATGTGATACAGGCCCGTGGCACTGGAGGTAAGCTTTTTTTGTGGTATAATTTATGACAGTAAGATCTGTCTTGAGCACATTTAAAATTTTTGATTTTGAAATCCTGTTCTGATGCATAATGGATGTTTATATTGAAGTTCATACCATTAAGTCTGATACTTGTATAGAAGAAAAACTGGAAAGCAACAGAAAACATGTGATGTCAATGTACTGTAGGGAATCAGAGAAGAAATTCTCAGAAAAAAAATTGGAGAATAGTCTACTATGTTTCTCAAGTTTTGGTACTCAAGGTTATTAATGTAGTTATTTTTCAGAGAGCTTTGGTTTAAAATTTCAGCCCCGTGTTTTAGCTGACATTATGTTTTTATGTATTTTGAGTTTGTTATATGAAACAAATTGATTACTTGTTGGAACTTGATTTTAAAGCTAAAAATTCTTTGAATTCACAAGCTTTCAGAAACTTTATAATGCAGCACTGAACTGAGGCAAGTTCCAGAAGTACAGCAAGGAATCTGTTGTGGGTTTCAGTAAATTCAGTAGTATGCATTACTCTGTTTTTGTAGAATGTTTTGTGTACTTGAAATACTTTAAAGTATTAAGACTGAAACTTTGATCTTGCATTTTTCTTTTTCTTTACAAGGTTGGAATTCATACCAAGGCATGGTTTATCGCTGGGATATTTCTCCTGATGACTATACCAATATCTCTCTGGGGAATACTACAACACTTAGTCCATTATACTCAACCTGAATTACAGAAACCAATAATAAGGTAACATTTCACATTTTACCTGTGCTACAAATGTTGAATTTAATTCAGACTAAAAATACTTCTAGTAATATTAAATGTTCTTTTGTTATTGTAACAGGATTCTATGGATGGTGCCGATTTACAGTTTAGACAGTGTAAGTGTCCTCTTACTGTTAACAGCTCAATAAAATTCTGTTTGCTGTGGGAGTGAGGGAAAACAGTGTGACAGCAGAAACTATACTGCAGGGAGAGTGGTAGTCCTAGAAGCTTCTGGGCATTCCTGTTTATGGAGTACATCAGAAACATAGTTCTAGGGATAATACATTCTTCCTGTGGAGCTTCAGGGATTGCTTTTGCTAACCCTTCTTAACCCTGTCCTGGAGTATCCTTTATGACAGATGTTGAAAGGGGTATGACAAGAGCCTGCTTTTGATCCTTCCATCTTAACAGCAGAACTGGAAACTCGACTAATCCAAGTACTGACTCAAATTCAGTGCCTTACCTTTCTTTCCCAAGTTAGGCTTACAACTAAAATTATTTCCTGAGTTGTATTTAGTGCTAAAATTATTCCTCTTTGCTTCGGGGGGCAAAGGATGAGGTCCTTTGAATAGTGCAAAAGCAGTGTGACACCCGGAAATTGAAAGCTCTGACAGCTGATCCATAATCACAGTTTTGCTAAAAAAATCCCTCTTCTGTCAGAAATTATGGTTTAGAGAGTTGGCTACCACTTCAAGGCTAATCTGTTCTTTCTTCTATATTTTGCAAACATGTCAGAGCGAACATTTACAACATCAGATACCAAAAGAAATCAACTTTAGGGACTGAAACTTCTCAAACCCACCTTGACAAAGAATATGTGAATTTCAGGAAACAGTTTTATCTTGTCTCCACCTAACAGGAGGAGGTTATGTGTAGTTACTTACATAGTTGGTTACTTTTGAGGGAAAGACTGAATTGTCTTATCAAAGATACAAAGCATCTCTTGTGCCGTGCTTTGAGCCGCTTCCAGTTGAAGGGGCAGAGGTGCAGTTTGGAGTTCTTGCGTGTATGTTTACAGAATGTTACTTTCTAGCTGTAGCATTGGTTTCTTGGAAGCCAATGGTTCAAACCCTGACTAATTAGTGCCTGCTGTCTCATGAGGTATTGCTCGCTGAACTACCCAGCCAGTGTTGTCATTGGAATCGCTCTTGTCTTTCTTGCACGTAACCTTTTGTGTACCTCTCTTCTTGCAGTGGATAGCTTTGAAATACCCCAACATTGCAATATATGTGGATACATGTCGAGAATGCTATGAAGCTTATGTCATCTATAATTTTATGGTTTTTCTTTCAAATTATCTAACCAACCGGTACCCAAACCTCGTATTAATAATAGAAGCGAAAGATCAGCAGAGACATCTGCCCCCTCTGTGCTGCTGTCCGTCCTGGGCTATGGGAGAGTGAGTATATGATGGCATTTATAGCTTTAGGCTGGGTAGTCAGATATAAATATTTTGTTTTGATATTTAGCAGCATAACTGTTGTTGCTTGACAAGAGTCAGTTTATGGTTTGCATACCTTTTGTTTATCAGCCATGAACCTCTACTGAAAGTGGTTGTGAACACATTTGTCATCTGTAAATCGTTACATCCTGTGAATTGCACTTGGTTACTAACATGCATTGGCTCAAGTGATGCTGAAGGAAACTTTCTCACTTTTGGAAAATACTGGGATTAGGTCTCTTTGACCTTTGAATTTGTTTGCTATTATGTTTGCCAAAAACCTCACGTGGAACTGGGAGTAGGCCAGATAGCCTTTGCTTTTACTTCCACAGGTGAGGGAAGAAAGGCTTTATGCATCTAAACTATTTCTGCATGCTTTAACTGGTAAAATCTCTCAAGAGATTTTGATAAAATGTTGAAGACAAACTATGAATCTAAATCATTCTTAAGCATCTTCAAATACGGCAAAAATTGCATTATCTTTGTGTAACCCTAACAGAAATTTTTCATGGCTAAAATAAGTGAATCATTGAGTATTTCCTGTTATGTGCCTGTAAAAGTTCAGGTCTTTTGTGTATTTTGTGTATACACACTGTAGCATCTGAAGTCCTGGAAGCAGAAGTTGAGATTACCATAAAATAAAAATTTACTTTAGTGAATCTACTAAGAACAGGAAACTTCCATAAGTGAATTGTATTTAAATCCTTGTATGATGAATTTTGTGTTTTTCTTGCAGAGTTTTATTATTTAGATGTAAACTGGGTGTTTTGCAGTACACTGTTGTCAGACCATTTACTACCATTATTGCTTTGTAAGTATGCTCATGAATAATTAATATTGATCTTCAGGATGTAATTTTGAGTTACACTGGAAAGAATTTTCATGCCCTTTTTATTGAATCAAGGCAGTTTGAAAGCAGACTCATGTTACATACTAAATGGGTCCCGGCAATTTGAATCAACCTATGA